TTTTTTTGTTCATAACTTTTGTTAACACATATTTTAGATGTTTTTGAAAAAATCTGTTATTTGTTTTGAATCCATTTTTATTAATAAAACTATTTCTTTTTATACAGAGTGTATCTCTACGTAATAAACTCTTCAAAAATAGGCGATAACATTAATGGAATAACTGTGCGGGCGTCAAATTTGGATCAAGAGCTAATTATATCGATTAATCGATGTTATTATCGATAGCCAAAAAAAAACTTTTTCTAATAATATTCTTGATGAAATAATTACATGACTCAATCAATGGGGGGCATGTGCCCCTGTGCCACCCCCTCATAATTCGCCATTGTATAGAGTGTTTAGTAAATAAGAAAACGGGTTTCTATTGTTCTCAATATTAGTAACAATTAACCTGTTTCCTTACGTACTATACACTCTGTAATTTTGAAGTCGGTTCAGGTGTTTTATATAATAATAAAACATACATTATAATACATATTATATATAAATTTAATATTTAAATTTAAATTATAATTATTATTATTTGAATCTCTTTTACGTCAATGATTATTAAGGCTGGATATTAACACAATAAAAAGTTAAAATTAAGCTTATATGTATGAAGTGAAATATAAAGTGAAATGTTATTTTCTTTAAAGTTTTGACTTTCAAATTAACTAGTTGCTTTTATTTGAATAGTATAATAATTCTAAGTTTATACTATACTGTATTATCAAAATAAAGTTAAATTTGTGTTTCTTGACTCAAACATTTTTTTTTCTAAATCCCNTTGTGTTTCATGACTCAAACATTTTTTTTTCTAAATCCCTGACTTTATTGTAGTATAATAATTATTTAACCAGATGGTTACGGCACCCAAGTGACTATAATTACATTATTAACAACTAATGATTTTTTTTTAATTTTATTATTTTTAAACGTTTAATGAATAATTGAACATTTTATATCTACTTCGAAAATGTTTAATGCTTTAATTTTTTTAAAAGTTAAAACAATGAAAAATGTAATTTCATAAGCAAACGCGACGAGCATAAATTATTCTTTGTATATAGTTCTAGTTAGAGAGATGTTTCATTTATTTATTTTTATAAATTTGATTAATCGTTATGTAATTTTTATTTTATTTTACATTAACGCGATTATGACTTTTAGGTAAACTATTGGGCACCTACCAATTTAATATAATAAATAGTGTATAATAATTATAATCTAAAATGTAATATAATTATTATTATACTATAGATTTAGATGAGTTTTTTATTTTTAGCATCGATGCGAAGCTGAGAAGGTATTAATTTTACTATGATGTGTATTTTTTTTT